GGGGGGGGGGGGGGGGTGGGGGGGGGGGGGGGGGGGGGGGGGGGGGGGGGGGGGGGGGGGGGGGGGGGGTGGGGGGGGGGGGGGGGGGGGGGGGGGGGGGGGGGGGGGGGGGGGGGGGGGGGGGGGGGGGGGGGGGGGGGGGGGGGGGTGGGGGGGGGGGGGGGGTGGGGGGGGGGGGGGGGGGGGGGGGGGGGGGGGGGGTGGGGGGGGGGGGGGGGGGGGGGGGGGGGGGGGGGTGGGGGGGGGGGGGGGGGGGGGGGGGGGGGGGGGGGGGGGGGGGGGGGGGTGGGGGGGGGGGGTGGGGGGGGGGGGGGGGGGGGGGGGGGGGGGGGGGGGGGGGGGGGGGGGGGGGGGGGGGGGGGGGGGTGGGGGGGGGGGGGTGGGGGGGGGGGGGGGGGGGGGGGGGGGGGGTGGGTGGGGGGGGGGGGGGGGGGGGTGGTGGGGGGGGGGGGGGGGGGGGGGGGGGGGGGGGGGGGGGGGGGGGGGGGGGGGGGGGGGGTGGGGGGGGGGGGGTGGGTGGGGTGGGGGGGGGGGGGGGGGGGGGGGGTGTGTGGGGGTGTGGGGGGGGGGGTTGGGGGGGGGGGGGGGGGGGGGGGGGGTGATGTTTGGTTAGTAGGGTTGGTAAGGGTAGATTGGTAGTGGATGAGACTCTGGTGTTTAACAGGGTTGATATGGAGTTTTGTTAGAGTAGGGGTGTTGTTGAGTTGGTGGTTATTTTGATGTTTAGTATTAGTGGGGTAGTGTGATGACAGTAAAGTTAGGGTGGGGTGGTGTGTATGGACTTGGTGGGGACACGAGTGCTGGCTGAGGAAATGTGCAGGGTAGGGAGATAGTTGAGTGTATGGATTTTAGGGCAGTGTGTATGAGAGTCTGGAGATGGGTGGATGTGGTGGTGTAATGTCTTAGTGTGAGTGTGGTACATTGTTGGCCAGTCAGAGTGCGTGTATGTGTTCTCGTGACGTATAAGGGTGGTGGATGTTGCTAGTAGAACTGTAGTTAGTTGGTTTATGTCTTTAGTGGTGAGTTTTATTTGATGTTGATTAGGATAGGGTATTAGTACTATATTATAATTATGTATAATGGACGATGAGATAGGTGTATCAGATTTTAGAGTAGGACTAAGTTGTGGTGGAGGTCATTTTAAGATGGGTTGTGAGGGAGAGGGAGTTAGGGGGGGGGTGAAGGTGTGTTGGGTGGGTGGGATGGTATCTAGTTGGATAAGGGGTTTTTAGAGTGATTTAGGTAGGTGTGGTGGGGAGGTGATGTATGTGGGGGGGTTGTTTTGTGTTGTTGGTGGGTGTGGGTGGAATGGTGGGGGTTAAGGTGGTTGTGGTGGGGACTGGGAGATTGTATGACAGGTTTGTTGCTGTGTTGGGTATCAGTCGGTAGGGAGGTGAGATTAGTTGTGGTGGTGGATCTTGAGAGGAGAGGGGGACTAGTACATGTCTTATGGTTGTTACTAGTTTGATGATGGTGCGGTTTGTGGTGGGGTGACATTGTGTGGTAGTAGGTTTGAGTGGTCTTGATGTTTTGTATTATCTGGAAGGGAGTATTTGAGTGATTACGGAGAGCTAAATACAACAGAGTCTACTGGTGGTAACTTCGATAGGGAGGCAATGACTGGGTTTTGGCAGGGGGTTGGGTGTTATACAGATAAGTGGACGGACTCACAGAGTATATGGAAGGGAGTGGGGGGATTGCGGAGGAGCAGGTACAGTGCACAGAAGTTGTGTAGTGGTGTGCTGACGGGGGGTACAAGTAAGGAAATGTACTTGGATTTGGAGATGTGTGGGTGGTTGGTTGGGGTAAGATGTGTTTACGGGTGGGTGAGGTGGGGGAGATGTCAATTATAGTTAGGGTGGGTGATGGTTTGTTGTTGATTTATTCGTTTATGGTTCACAGGATGTGTGGAGGGAGGTTGTTTGGGTTAGATTAATTACAATATGGTGCTTTAGATTAGTGGGTGTGTGGGAGGCGGTGGACACAGTGGGGGAGATGGTTAAGAATGTTTTGTTCTGTGATGTTATATCTATATCTATCTATGAGGTTGATTGTAGTGTGGTTGGGGGGGGAGGTGTGAGAGGTAACGTGGACACAGGGTGTGAGTTGTTTTTAGTAGATAGGGTGTATTTCTATTTGTTGTGTTTAGACATGGAAAGAGCGGGTGTGTTGTGGACAGGGAGTGATGATGTATATGAAGTATGATATGTATGGTGTAGTAGAGGGTTGGTTTGATGGTACGGAGCGGGGGGAATGGGTGTGAGGCGACACGTGTGTAGTATGTATGGTTGTAGTTGCGATTATAGTGTGTGGGACGAGTCATGTGTGGAGGAGTAGGGAGTCTGCATGAAGGTTTTTGTTGGTAGTTGTGGGAGGAGTTGTTTTAATTTTCTTGGTTCAGGTCGTGTGTCGTATTTCGTGAGTAGGAAGTCTCAAGGACAGAAAGATGACAGTACACAGGACGTTCTTACACAGGGCATGGAGTGACAAGGGGTGAGGTATTGGGTTGATAGTATTCAGGAGGGATAGTATGGGGAGGTAGGTGTATGGGTCTGTATGGGATGGGAGTTCTATATCTGAGGATCGTAGTGTACACTAAGGGGAGTGTGTGAGCAGTTGTGAGGTGAGCGGGTACATAGTTGGATGGTAATGGGCGTGAGGGCGGGCATTGGGCTCTACTCTAGTTGGGACAGGGCATTTACGTGGGGGTACAGTGTGGCGGATAGTTGTGTGGGGCAGGGAGGTGAAGACGTTTAACATAGGGAGAATGTGCAATGTTGTGGAGGTGAGGTACAGTTAGGAACATTAAGATGAGGGGGGGATTTGAAGGAGCTGAGACAGTTGTGAGGAGGGGGTGAAGGGGATGAGCGAGTGAGAGGCTTAAGCGTCGGTTTCGATGTATGGATAGTAGTTGTGCAATCATTGCAGTGATGCGGGTGGATTAGTGGGTTGTAAGATGCAGGGTTGATCGAGTTTAGACAGAGAAGTTGTATGGATGTCTTTGTGTGGTTAGATAGATATATACTGTAGTTGGTAACGTGTCATATCTTAGTAGTTTCTATGGGATGGTATGTTATTTTTTGTATGTGGACTAGACAACAGGTTCTTGTGACTGAACATAGTGAGAGGACAGACTGGACAGTGGAAATTTTGATATATGGAGGGATATGGATGAAATTAGGTGAATGTGCTGGGTGGGCACGTAGTTAGTGGGTGGTTTGTGGAGAGTACTTGGTTAGCATGAATGGGATAGAGCTTTAGAGGGAGGGTAGTGAGAAGGAGATTGTGAAGTGAACGTGATTACTGTAGTTACAGGGATGACTAGGAGACATGTTAGTTATGATTAGGAACAGTTCTGTATAGTTGTGTATTTAAGGGTGGGGATCGGATGATGGGCATGAACTATATATATGAGTGTGAGAGGTTGGGGGGGGGGGAGTGGAGAGGAGGGGGGGGGGAGGCTTTATATATCTCTGTTTTATATGGGAGTGGGTTTGTTTGTGTAGATGACTGAATGGTGATGGGGGGGGGAGTGGTTTGAGAGCATATGTGTAGGTGTTAGTGGTCCACGGTGGACACAGTAGGAACGGAGATTTGGATTTGGTGCGCAGAAGGAGTTCGTATGGAAGGTGTAGTGAACAGTTGGTGGTAAATGTTTTGGGCAACAATGTGGCACGTGGGGTTGTGGACAGTTGATGGTAATGGATGGTTGATTGGGTAAGGATGTGGTGTTGGGAGCAGGAGTGTAGTGGGGTAGGTTACGGTGATATATATCTGGTCATCAGGTGGGGTAGTGTGGGTGATGGTGAGGGGTTGGGGGGAGTTGATGTTGAGGAGTTGTTTGTAGGGGGGGGGTGAAGAAGGGGGGATGTCATGGTTTGTGAGTCATGTTAAACATGGTATATTGTGTAGTATGTAGGTTGTAATACAGGGAATTGGTTGTAGATATCTGGGTAACTTGGATAGGGATATAGGGTTAGGTCTGAGGGGGATTTTGGGGAGGTATATAGTGTAGGATAGATTGGAGTCATCAGATTATATGGATCATGTCAGTGTTGGAGGAGAATGAGGTTATGCGTGTGTTTGTCTCAGTGGAGTGTCTATGACAGGTGAGGATGAGGTGGGTGTGTGGCGCTGTAGGAGTAGTGGGGAGATGGGGGGGGATAGTGAGGGTGGAGGTATCTGGGATACTATCTAGGGGTCACAGATATTTGGCTGATTAGTGGGTTAAGGTTTTGATGTTTTTTTTTGTGGGTGTTTTTTTTGTTTTTTTTTTTTGGGGTTGATGTTTTTTGTTAGTTGAGTTTGTTTGGTAAGTTTAAATCTATAAGTTATTATGGTTTTGGTGTGTGTGTACTTATAATAGGTTGTATTGTGTGGTTATGGTTAGAAATATGAGCGTGGTTTGGTAATAATATATAGGAATGTTAATATAAATTTATTTAATTATGAAAGTTTTGTTAAGAAGAGGATAATTTAATGTGAGTGTTTAAGTATTTTGATGTTAATGTTGTAATAAATGAATTTTTTAATTATATATAATGACTCAAAAATCTACAATGTTCGATTAGGCCCCATTCTCATCAACGTAAGCTAATGTTTAGAATTAGCTGGACAAGTAGAAAGATCAATACCTGAAGTCCTCATAAAAATAAATATACACTCTCAGCCACTGGTAAACAAGGCTAAACAGAGAATGTGCCACACAGAATATTAATAGGTACAACTTATATTTGAAGAAAAGATAAAAGCAAAACGTGGCTTGGGTTGAAAAAAGGAATCGTGACTAAGAAATATAAGGAACTGGAGTAATACCAACAGAAACAACCTCACCGTCAACACGATTAGAAGATGCGCTAAATAGAAAAAAAACCAAAGAATATAATTACGTTTTAAAAACTAAACCAAAAGATATATATCGCAAGTTCACTTACCTTCCATGAGATCTTCAGGTTCACTGAACTCATCAATAGGTTCATTTTTGCTTGGGTGTATATCTCTCATGTGAGCTTCAAAGTCTTTTGTCTTCTGAATGTCTTATTACACTCAATACAACTTAAATTAAGGAGACTGGACAGTAAACTTTCTTGGCGGTCATGTTCAACGTGTTCCGTTTTTTCAGGTGTGGTTTTTTTATCTATATTAGTACTAGGTAGTTCTTTCGGAGGTCCAGTTGGTAAACCACCTCCTCCGGGTTCATAATGTTTCTTTAAGTGTTCGAAGAACCTTTATAAAGAGAAAATATTGTTATTTTGTTAGTTAATCTATAAAAATTGATGGATGATTTCTGTACTTTTGCATTCTGGAATGAGATATATGGCTAGGTGTTCAAAAAGAGTAGCATGATTTTATTTTTGTAATGTAAGTTATAATGGGATGCTGCAGAGAGCGTCAGGTATAGCTTTGTGGAGACTCAATAGTAATACAGTCATATTCAGGGACACATCGTGACTTATTTTTTAATTTAATTTATAATACAGGGTGAGTCATTACTATACTTACTTATGTTTATGCGTTTTTATTCATATCTTGAGTTCGACAAAAGCTATTAACATGCGGTTTGCGCCATTTTGTTACGAATTTAATCCAGTTCCATTATAATTTACAATAAATAGGTGTTTCCATTAAACATTTTGAAGAAAAACAAATTTTAATTGTTTCTATTCGAAAGTATCCTCTATCCATGACAATTAAGAACTAAATGCAATTATTTTATAGTAGATGTAAATAAAATCATTCACACTCTTTCTAATGACACTAATTTAGTTAAAATCGGTTGATCCAAACTAAAGTTATAGGTATTTATCCACAAATACTTTCCCACTCTCCCCCACCCTTTATCTTCGCGAAACAGGATTTTCTGCGATGGCTGCTTTGAAGACCAAATACTAAATATAGAGAAAGAACTGAGAGTGTCTATTTCTAATATTATACCCTGTCGATAAATTTTACTCTGCAAAACAGAGGCAAGGAAGTCACTAATATACATTAAATTTGTTGATAATTTAGTATTCAGTGATCTTTATAATTGTACCTTATTATCATATTGTGTATTTTATTTTTTATTTTGTCAGAATGTTGTTTTGCTTTGATTTTAGTAAATTAGTCAATGTTGGTGGGTTTTTTTTTTATATTCTCACTACTCCCACTTAGTAAAAGCGCCCCCCAGGTTGAGAATCACTGTGTTAATGTGTTATTACCAATCTTTGACTATATTTTTATTGTATTCAACTATCAAATCTCCAACACTCTTTTTGAAAACCCTGTAAAAACAAGATTGCTTTCCTATTTAATATTTCTATCACAGTTTATATTTAAGCACTAAGAAACAAATGGCTAAGAATACAGACACGTCAAAAAAGAAAAAAAGCACTAATACTTACTTGAGTTGTTCTGTAAAAGGCTCGTTACAAATTTGGCAGTTAAACGCGTTAACTTGGTTGACTGGAGTGATTGTAGTTTGACATAAGATTTCATGTTGTGCAAATTCATCACTAGAGCTAAATGATTGTTCACAAAGATTGCAGACAATATTTTTGGCAGCTGATACAGTGCTCTTCTTGAGTTTCCTTGAAATTCTTTTTTTGTGGGGTAGGCTTTTCTTAGAAGTACGAGGTTCATTTCTTAAAAATCATATAAAATGTTAAAAAGTAAAGATTTAATATGACTTCAAAATAATTCAATAATTGGCTTAATGGAAAAAAGAAGTAGTAAGAAGTTTAAACATCGAAGATCAGTTTTAACCTGAAATGTATTGCAATATACTGTGTATGCTACCGTTTTTTGTCACTTTATGATTATTAACTAATACAGTGGAACCTCGATTATCAGTCGGGGCACCGGAGCAAGCGTGTGACGGATAATCAAAAAACGGTTAACAGAACATTAAAAAAAATATTAAAAATTCATAGTACAGCTCTCAAATTTTATTTGTATGGTTTGTTTGACAATATAAGAGGGATTTGTGTGCGAACAATCCAATTGATTTGGTTTAAAATATTCTGAAATCTTTGTTTTACTGTTGCTTCACATTTTTCAACAGCTGAATTTCTTAATTGGCGTAAGAACATGCAATCTACTTTATTGGCTTTTTCTTGTCAAGAATACCACTCAATGAATTGTTGCATGTGCGACGCAGCTTCACTAGCTTCTTTATGTAAATCTTTGTCAGTTGCAATAGCATCATTGACATTACCACCATCAAATTCCAAGTCTGTGTCAGCTTCTGAATCTGTTTCGTCCGCCTCTGTTGACGTTTCAACGATTTCATCATCTGTTAGCAATCGATAGCCGTTTGCGTCCTCATCTAGTGGTGGGATAAACTGTGATTCTGCAATCACAGGTATAACTGTGATCGTGATTTTTTATTCATTGTGATTTTTATTTGTGATTGTGGTTTAACAGAGCAACGAAATAGTCGTATGTTAAACTCTGAATAAAAAGTGTTGCCATTATGGATGATCATAAAATTCTACACATGTTATTATTTAGGTATATCCGATATGGTCAGATGTTTTACTTGCATTGTAGTGCATTTTTTTAATTATATGTGTTCATTTATAGGACAACTTTGCCTTACAAATATTGCATAACGCCAGTGGCGCACCTAGAATTTTCCTGTGAGGGGTTTTGGTTGGGCACCTGCAAATTTTTTTTATGCTGCCTCCATTTTGAGTCCCCGTGGGGTGGGGGGTTAATCTCCAAAACACCCCATGGGTACGCCACTGCATGACGCTGCGTACATAATTATATCATCCACTTCTATAAAAACGTTCCATATCCTACTAGTTTTCCTTTTTTAATTTGGCGCTGGTGACATTTTTAAAATGTATGAGAATAAAAATTATTGAATATCGATACAAAGGCGACCAGTTACACAAATTCAATAAACTGAAACTCTAAACACCCTTGTCATGTTCTTCAACTATTGTTTACATATTAATATTACACTAAACTAGCGATGTTCATATTCCTCCAAAAACGATATATTATCTTTGCCTTTGCATTCCTCATTAGAAAGAGACTTCACAATACCGCCACCTACCTATATCTCGTTCCTTGTTATCCTGTTACATGTCGCTCATTTCACAACTCTGCTACTGAGATGAAACACGTTTTGGCGATCAAACCGATTTTCGGCGACCGAAATTACAGTCACAGTATATTTTTGATGGTATTCACAGGTCGTGATTGTTATTTTCTAATCACGGCTGTTAAATTAAAGGGTAGTGATTTATACTATAGTGAATAAAGGAAGGAGATGGTCACCACTTGCATTTGAACACATCATCGCTGTGCTTCATTGCTTTTGCATTTTAAATCTGGGTGCACATTTTTCAGACAGTGCAGCGAGTGTTTTTGTTGGCAATAATTCGTAGTTTAAACCAGTTTCATCAACACTGAACACTTAATCGCGTGTCAAACTATATTCATCGATCATAGCTCAAAACTTTCTTTTATATTCGTGAACGACTTCAACACTTTCGGCGGTCAACTTTTCACCTTCGATTTTCGTTCAGAATGCCGTGACGATTTTTGGACTTTTCCAACCAGCCGCTGCTTCCTTTGAATGCAGGATGGTCATTCAATTTCATGTTGAAAAACAACGCTTTTTCGACAACAATTGGAATACCATCGCTTCATTTTTGAACGAACCACATATACAGAGCCGTGTCAAGTGATTCATTTGTGGCATTTTCATTGTCTTTATGATTTTTCACCCGGCTATCCAACGATTCCATTTGCGAAGCATACTTTTCAAGTTTTTCAGCATTTTACTTTAAGTCATTGATTGTTGTTCTCGGAACATCATACTTTTTGCACAATAAGATAGCAGACACTTTCTTTAGTTTTGAAATAATTTATAATTTTTTTTTCAATTGACAAAACAAAATGTTTTCTTTTGGAGTTCCAGATGTGGAAGGTTCCATTTTCAAAACTTATTTGATCAAACAACTAATTGACACAATCAATGTTCAAATCAAACTGAATTATGGTACACAATTACACATATTGACTGTAACTGTGCTGTCGCATAAGAATTATCACATTGTGACAGTATATTTTTGGTAACAACAAATTGATGAATATCTATATAAAACAAAACTATATAACTAGCTAATTAAGTCTAATCTATTCCCAAAGTCAAAGTTTTTCTGATCCAAAACATTGTTTCTCTTCTCTACATGACCTGTCAAAATCCCTTCAGTTCTTCGAACATACCAAATACAAATTAAGTGCGTTTCAATCATTTAAAAAAGATGGAGGGTTACTTCAAAAAATAATCATATAAATATATATAAACAATAACAAGTTATTACCCACTTAATGCATTATGCCATGTGTCACAAGTTTGACCATAGTACAGAGCTATTCAAACCTTTTATGGCAGTTTCTTACCCATTCATGACGAATTTATTATTTATTTTATTATTTTTATTACTATTTATTTAATTTTTCATTGTTGTTATTTTTTTCTAAGAATTAGAATTTATCCTTTTCACAGTTTAATTTGAGTTTTAGATGTAGCTAGACTTTAGCCTATTTTCCTTTCTGTCAGATAGTAGATATTTTTGTGTTAGCATATCATTCTACTGACTCGACCGTTTTTTGAATTTTTTTTATTTATACCCTTACTATAATTCTACACCCCTGACATGTTTTTGCTTTTAATTATACTTAAATATTAAATTTTCTAAAGTAAAAATATACTTACTACGCATCTTAAAATAGTTTTTTTTTTAAATTATTTTATATGCATAATCGAATTATAAAATAAAAGAAATTTATCATTTTTTTTAAAGTTAACTCAAAATTAATATGTGTATTAAGTGGTTAAAAGTATGTTTTATTTTCTTGAGATTTTTTTTTACTTAATTACCTTTAAAAGTATGTCTTAATTCGTAAAGACATATTTTTCAACTTATTTACCTTAATTTTGGACATGGAGTCCATCAACTTACATACAATTAAAGAGTAGACTTTCCTTAAAAAAAATCAGAAATCTCAACTTTTGTAGGTATCAAAAAATACTCATTAATTAACACCATTGTTAAATGTTATCAATGATCAATGACAATGTTAAATGTTTTTTATGTGATGGAAAAATGGACCTAACACAACACAAGTGTTACATTTAATTTTTTAGAGGTAATTCACTCCACTAATGTCAAAATATTTTCATAGTATGATTTAGCTCATTGAATTTTTTACAGTTCCATGTATGACCTGTATTGTAAATAAGAAAAACAATTATATTTACTTTAAAGATTCCCTATCAGAATCTCCCTTATCATCATCTTTTTTTATAATACTCTTGTCAATTGGCTCATCTTCAGTGAACGATTGGTTATTTACAGTTGTAAATCGAACAGTATCAACTAGTTTATTGAGTGGCTGCTGCTCCACGTAAATATTATCAGAATTTACAATCCTCAAGAAACTTGTACCACCTCCCTTTTCACTGCTAATAATCAACTGAGATTCATCCAATATCTTGGTTCCTGTAGAAAGAAAGTAAATTAGATATAAAAATAATAACTAATAAGAAAAAAAATTTATAATAAAAGTAAAGATAATTTTAAATGTTTCCTATAACAATGATCTATTATGAACAACTAAGGTTATTCCAGGAAAGTGGTTCTTATACTACGAGAAGTCCTGGTTTAACTAGGTATATCTAATTAGAATTTGCAAGAGAACATTTTAATTGGACAATTCACAAACACAAAAGGATTTTCTTTACAGAAGGGCCTACATTTAATCTAAGATTACAGTGTAATTATCATAAGTTTGGGGAATACCTAATGAATGTTGTGCACTAGTCTGCTCTGAGATAGATTATCTACATTTTACAGAACAAAATAACTTGGATCTAAATGGGAAATCATATTAGGCTTGAAAATGTTCCAAACAATTCAGAAACTACAGTGAAATATAAAATGATCTAATGATGATATTCCAGGTATAACAGAAAGATTAGCCTCATTCTCTCTTAATCACGGAATCTTAAGTCATGGAATTACTTTAGTTTTTTTAAAATAGAACTCAAAAAATACCTTAATGCTCCTGAAGGTGGAGGCCTACCAGGCACAACTTCTAGTTATCAGTGAACATTAAGTTCCCATAAACAACAAATTATTGGCAGTTACAATTAAAGTGGGAGGAATGAAAACAATATTGTTTTAAAAATTTCAACCTATAACAATTCCCTAAGTGAAAATGTGATATTGATTAACTAAATAACCACAGGACATTTGGTTTATCTGAGCCTAAGGGTCTTCTGGTTTAGCCTGCATATTTCACTTGCAAGGCATCCTTAACATCACAGCAATCCTGCCCAGTATCACCGAAAAGCGCTATAGAGAAAATCAATGAAGTGGAGCCTACCTATAAGAACTCTCTTTTGTGAAAATAGGTCGCAAGGACTATAAAGATTTAAAATGAAAAAAGCTGAACCTAACATCACTAAAATATATATAAGAAAAAAAATTACCTATGGACATTTATTGTGTTTATAAATATGTACTTTATATGAACCATTAAGGCTATAAACTAAATATCCAGTAGCATGTAGCCACAACATTAAGATTAATAAAAAGTTACGAACCCATGACATGCAGTAAATCAATAAAAGAACAAAAAGTTAGCCAATAAAGTAAAGCAAGTAAAGGGACAAAGTGCTGGATTAGTTTTTTCATAAGGATAAAACTTGCAATGGCATGTTCCATAGACTATGGAAATAAGTCTAAAGGCGCATACAGATATGCGAGCCAAACAGTATACATACCATATGCATACAGATCCTTGAAAATATATCTACATCTTAATGATCGCATACTTATCTCTATTCATGGAAAGCGATAAAACCAACAATGAACACACATGTGTGAAATGATTCATTTTATTTATAATTTGGGTACTGATTTATCGTGTTTCTGTTTCTTACAAAAATAAAAATATGTACAATAATCAGTTTACTGTTTTCTCACGTCTCTCTAGGAAGGAACACGTCATTCACACAATGTCGATTTGATGAGACAATAAAAATGTTCGCTGCATCTAGTAGCTCCGTCCAAACTGAAAGACGAGCTTCTTTTGAAGTCGTGGAATAAAATGCAACAATTAGGTTCGCGACGAGTCACGACGAAACAGCACACATGCGGTTTTTTCTGCCATACACATTAATGAATATAGCGTTCGCATACAGTATGCATATCGTTTGGCTTGTATATGTGTACCGAACTTAACCCTCTGCACATTGTGATAGAAGACATGTGTAGTAACACATAGGGACATGCAATAAGATGATTTGCTAAAATGATTCAACTTTAAGAGCTAATTTACACAAAATATGTGGTAACATTGTAATTGGTATAACCGTAAATAACTATCATTTATTATAACATTGAAAAAATACAGTTTTTTTTTTGTTTATACAATATTTTATAATGTCAGAAGTATTTATTTATGAATAGAGTTAGGTTTCATAAACGACCTTACAATACATTTTTGTTAAATGCTAGAAAAGTCAAATGTGACAAGCACAGAATATGAAAATTGAATTTCCAAAGCATTAATTTGAAATATTTATTGTCAAAAGTTGTTATAATAAAATTATTCCAGCAGTTATACGAGAAAAGGCTGAACTTTGTTGATTAAGTAGTAGTAAGTAGTAGTAGTTGTAATTTTTATTATTGCGTTTGGTACCTACAACTTCATTTTTTTAATACTTCAGGCTGCATTGCATGTGAAAATATGAAGTATTTATGTATTATATAAGTATTACTTACATAAAAAATAAGTAACTGCAAATGCATTGCATAATACAAAACATTAGAAAAACCAAAAAGTACTCAAATTAAAGATGATTATCGAGCAAATCACAAGAATATGGATGGAAGATTTGTATATACTTTATAAAATAACATGAACATAAAATGAAGAACTTACATGAAACGATAAAACAAAATTCATCCCTATAAAGATCCAATTTGAATGAGGCTAATATTGACAACAAAAGAAAAAAAAGCACATATATGGAATATTACTACATTAAAAGGTAAAATATATAATTAAGTATAATTATTCTGACTATTTAAGTATAGTACAAAGGAAATTACCTATACCTAAGTTGGAGGTAGCAACTAATGAAGGTAAAGGAGTATCTTGCAACTGTTGTTGTTTTTGTTGTTGGCTAAGCTGTACAGCTACCAAAGCAGCAGCTAAGTTTCTATCTTCTTCTGTAAGATCTTGTGTAAGTAAATCTTCAGAAGCATAACTAACTGGTATAAAGTCGTTTCCACCTAAATCTACAACTAGTCCATGTTGTTGTTGTAAAAGCTCTTGACTTAAAAGTTGGGCATTTTCTGGAACCCTTTGAATCATATATTGGGGTGTTGTTCCATCTCCACCAATAACAATGTTCTCCAATGTTTCTCTGTTAGACTTGCTTTCCATTCTTAAAATGTTATAAACAAAATATTCTTTTCTTAGAACTTATATTTGAGTTTTTAAACGAGCCGCCACTGTAACTTATATTACGTTGACACGACGTTTCAAGGTCATAATTTTCCCAGAAAATGCGAAGTGTGTAACCCTTAATCAAAAAGTCTCTTACTTTCTAAAACGTAATTTATCAAAATCTTAAGAGTGCAGATACTCAATAATCCAATTATTTAGACGAAAACTTTAAAGATTGCTTTGTAATCCAAATATTGAAATTAAAATTGACAACAACGCACTAACACTGTATACAGACGCCATTCTTATTCAGATAATGAGTTGCGTGTTCCGTGTATAAAATGGGTTGTTGACTTTTAAAATGTCATTTGTGCATAGATTGGATCCAATTTTTAAAATTTATGTTATTATACTGAATTATTCCTATTACTTTTTATATACTAACAATTCTTTTGAATGTTTATTTTTAACTTACTTAATATTTATTCTTAAATAAACCAAACTGAAAAATCTTTTATAATCAAATAAAATTTTAAGCCTTTAAACTAATTTGGTTATCAATTAGTAAAGTAACGTATATGTAATCCTGTATATATTTGTAATATAATTTAATTTTAAAGTATATAATATTTTTTTACGGAAACGTTGTTTAATCACTTGAAATGTAATTCTGAACATACTATCTATTTAGTTTTTTGACTTGTGGTGTTGAACTTTTGACAGTTGAAGTTTCTCTTTTGAAAGTTCATTCAAGAAGCAGAGATGGTAGGTAAATTTTTGTTGCAAATTCTGAAAAATATTAGAACATCTTTAATGGTTTTAAATTTATTTTTCTTATTTAAGTATTTTGAATGTTTATTCTTTCATTCTAAAATAATATATTTTGTTTTAGTCTGCTCACAAAACTTTTATCATCAAGCGAAAGCTTGCCAAAAAACTTAAACAAAACAGACCTATTCCCCAATGGGTCCGTATGAGGACAGGAAATACTATCAGGTAAATAATAGTACTATAATCAATAATTATTAAATCAATTCTGATGTATTAAAACTCTGAACGAAGTAATACTATGTATTCTTTGATTTATAAACTTATTTTTTGGGAATTACGGAGAAAACTACTATGTATTCTGGTATTCTACATTTGTAAATGGCATAAAATGAATAGAGTTAAGCTTAGGATTCATGTAAATTTACAAAAACGAGGAATAATGGGACGTTGTTGTTTTGAGACATGTAGGATTCAAAGATTATCAGCATAGTTTTTGTTTCTGTGGTTTCATTTGTCTATTTCAAATTGTGTAGTGTCAAGGTTACTGTATGGCTTTGAGTAGAGTAGTGATGTGGGAAACATGGCAGTTTCCTTTGGAGATCATTTGCAAGAAGGGCCAGAAATGTAAACAAGTGAGTAGACATTTAGGAAGCAACTTCATGCTGCTGAATTGTCTTGTACTAGAGCTACTCCACAATCACTTTCCTGTGAACATCAGTTTCTTCTTTATATCTCTACAGTTCCTAAAGAGCTTTACTTTAACTTAGGGCCAATAGTCTTCTTCTTCATGTACCATGTGCTTTCAGAATATAGGTTTCCATCATAGCTATCTTAATTTTATTCACTACCACCCTAAATATATAATAGTCCCCATTGCCTTATTCCTAATACCTGTCAATCTGCTTCCACAATATCTGGAAAGTATTCTTGTCTTCTTCAAAAATTGATTTTTGGATAGAATATTGAGATTAGTTGTTTTGATAGATTAAAGTAGTATATGTTAGCAGGGAGGATTTGTCTCTTGGTTTAGTTCATATATTTTGTATCAGCAAGAAAACCAAGGTATACAATACAGCTTCAATGGTTTGTCCACTTATAATTAGGTTTTGTGTGCTGGTTTTACTCAAGATTTCACAAATTAAATATCCACATGTCTTAATTTTACTTAATTTATCATCAATAATTATTCATGTTATAACTAGATCATTTTATTTTTTATATTTCACATTTTTTTTGTGCTGGAAATACTACATTAAATTTATATTAGTTTTCTTCTATGGCAGTAACGTCTGCTAACAGCTTCCACTTGCTCAATACATTGTTTTTAGTTTGTTTTATAAAATTTACCAATTTGATATTCCATACTTTTGCAATGCCTTTTAAAGGTCATTCATGAGAAGAGTTAAATTAAATGCATATGTGTCAGAAGTTGTTTCCATATTCCTACTATCAATTTGTATAAATTAAATACAGTTTTCTCTGGCTATTTTAAACAGTTCTATTGGTTAATTGTCTGTTCATAAATTCATTATTAAGACAGTTTTTGTATTACCTACTGAAGTTCATCAAAGCTTGTTAGATTCTTTTGTTTGATGTAGGTTTTCTATTTGGTGGAGGATCAGTTATGGCATGGGTAGTTATAACTTTTGATACTCACACAGAGTTAGTCTTAATTTAGAATGGGACATTGACTGTATAAAGATAATGTTTGACTGTTATTCTTGTGGATTACACAACATTTATGCATGATAATACTCATATAGTTACTGGGTATCTTAATGAGGTTGAAAACACACAATTTGTCATACCTGCTTGTAGTCCAGATATCCCTTTCAATCTCTTTTGGAAGAGAGGGAGATACATTTACAGTGGCATGTATTGGTCATCAGAAATTCTAGAGTTTCACAGCATACTGGTACAGGAATTGAATAATCTTGTATTCTTAAGTCTTTATAATTTCTTTGGTTTCAGCAAAAATCATATCAAAGTAAAATGGTTTATTTTTGTTACCTTCAATAAGTTTTGAACAAAAACTTTTTTGTAAACAATCAGTAAACTATTTTAAAACCTAAAAAAGAAACAGACAAAAATAAAAAACTTTCAAATAAGTTAAAATTGTAAGTTGTAACCTAATTTTATGCTCTGTAGAGTATTATCCAACCCATATGCAAAGAATTTTAAATTCAAATGAATTATTCTTATTATACTTATCTTTATTTTTTGTTACAGATACAATGCCAAGAGGCGTCACTGGCGTAGAACCAAGCTAAAGTTGTAAATTGTTTTTATATTCAATTGACCTTTATTTACTTTAGTTTAATAAACATTATTCCATAAAAACGCTTTTTTATGTCCTTTAATATTGATGTTAGTAATAAACAATTAGTATCAATTGTATGAAGAATCCAACATCGTCGGTCTATTAAAATTAATAGACTAAGGTGGCTAGGACACTTTGAAAGAATGGAACACTCAAAGACAGATATTGATCAAGCAGTAGGAACTAGGAAGAGAGGCAGGCCAAGATCTAGATTTAAAACTCAAGTCGAAGATGACTTGAGGAGTCTAGGGGTCAGAAATTGGAAAGCCAGAGCGAAAGATAGGGGGAATAGAAGACTTAATTCTTGAACAGGCCAAGACCCACCCAGGGTTGTAGAGCCAAAGATGATGATAAACAATGTTTCAGAACAAATATCTTTATGCTGTTAGCTTTCTGGCTTGGGAATAAATCTGAATTTAACTGATATGTTCTATATCAATTTGAATTTGATTACTATATCTACTTACGTTTAGATGGTTTTGTGCACCAATGACTAGCCTTCTAGATTAAAACTAGATTTCACTGTGTGCAACAAGTACTCAATAATTTTAAGTGTAAAATTTTATAGGGTCATTTGTATTATTATACAAGAGGTATACATTAACCCTTTCTGTATGGCACTGGTTTACTAGGATGTGGCCAGCTAGATAGGTACAGATAACACTTCTCACTCAGTTGTTTCTTTCTGAAATGTTAAATCTACTCTGTTAAAAATATATAAGTTTGTTATTCTTTCATAAGTTTTTGTTGAAGTAGATTTAATTACACTTGGTAAACCACTACTGATTTTTTTGTAGAAAAAGATAACATTATCACTGATAAAACACAACTTTCTGTAGCAAGTAATTTTACTTGTAAATGAATCATTTACTTGAAATTACGATAATTCTCCATCAAATCCTCTATGTATTTCAGTGGGCACAGACATTTTAGCATCTATGATTGTTTCCTGCCTTGATCATATGCAAGATGCGATGATCTGATTGTTTTTGTGCAGTTCATCAATCACTTGGCAAAGAAATGGATGTATACTATTCAGTGTTGACAGTTTTACCATTCTTTAACAAAGTTGTGGCAATATTTCCCATTTTTTTCTGAAAAAAACTTCGACCATTTGTTTACCAACGCTGTGAGCGTGTATACTATTGTAACATGTCAGTTTCAATTATGCACATAAATATTTTCCCATAGAACAGCCTTTCAGACGACCTTCATGGAGTTCGTTACTGAGGCTGTGTGAAGAGTCCATCCACACCTGAATTCTTCAAACCATTAATTTGAGTTTATAGGTATGGTACTTTATTATGGATTACAAATTGTATAAAATCATTAGTTTTCCATTTTTTGACGAAATTGCATTACAAATTTGTTGCTGATAAATCACACAACTAATTTTTAATCTTTGTTAAAAAATTGTTAATTGTTTTCATAGCAAAAATCCACTGCAACAAATTGGTTTCCTATCAATCTGATATATTATCTCAAATGGAAGACGGTAAACAGGTAGATGCAATATACACAGATTTTTCCAGTGCATTTGATCGTGTAGATCACCAATTACTTTAGGACAAATTTAATGCAGGTTTTCATGTCAGGTTTGTTGAATGGATTTAATGATCTGGTAGAAGTCAAGATAGGTTGTCATCTGTCTGACAGTATTCAGTACATCGAGTCTAGAGGCTACATTCTTTTAATATCTTCGTTCATTGTTAATATCTTCGTTGGCAGAAGACTTGAAATTTTGGAAAGTTGTAGATAGCTTAAAAGATCAAGCCTTGGCTACAAACTGGGTGCAATCAGAACAAACTCCACTTAAATGTAAAAAAAATGTGTTTTTATAGTTTTTCTCGTAACGTCAATGGAATTTAAACAAGCTATACTATTAATAATGAGCCCTGAATTTAGT